CACTCTTTCACCGTCATTCGGTCTTCACTCGTCAGTAAGCAACGAGCGCTGATAGCGGGTATTGATAATTAACTGTGGCGCTGTCATGTTGCATGTGGCGCACATTTGAACCAGAGGACCAACTGACACTGGTGGCAAGCTCTGGCCCGCGGCCTTTGCGTGAGACAAATATGATATATAAGAATTACTTAAATAATATTTTCGTATTATTGTTTGCATTTTCATGATTGTTGTTACATTTTATCAGTGACTATATATGTTATGCAATAGACCTTTTCCACAGTGGGCGTTGTGTCGTGTCACATTTTATCCTGGAAAAAAAAATCAACTGAATTTTCATAGTTTATAGAATAACAGTAACAATGTTATGCAGCTGACACATCTAACATGAAATCCCCAAACAGGTTGTGCAGGATGCAGGCACAGCTTAGCCTACTTATTTTTAGTATGCTTTTCTTTAGTAGCGGCAATTAGTGACTTTATAGCAGGTGTTTTTTCCCAGGCAGCTGATGTAAAACACCAGCTGTGACAACAGTCAGTGTTTTTTCAAATTAAACTATTGTTGATATGACACTTTAAACCTTTTGCCTGTAAACTGTTTTGTTGTGTTTGATCATTGTAACACAGGTGCATGTTTCACCTGTGCAACTCAAACTACATTTAGGCGTAGATTAACTGCATAAAGTAGTTCATGCTTCTGCATAATTCAAATGTGGTTATATGGATCCTGTTGTAGTTTAAATATTACATATCATGTGCATTCATGTATACCCTTTTAAAATAAAAAGGAAACCCTAAAAGGAAAACTCTGTATCTCTAAATACACTGGTCAAACTAATTAAGGGAACACTTAAATCACACATCTGATGTTGATGAACAAATTATTCAAGTTGAAACTTTACTAATGTGCATTGTATAGTTAGTATTAGTATAATAGTATTATTCAATCACACTAAAAATCAAAGTGAAAAACTGAAGTCACAGGCCCGGACCTCTAAGGCTAGTTACCAGCTGTGAGCCAGGGCTAAAGTAGTTTAGCTATGAACCAGAGTTGCCCAGAGTTTGAGAAAGTTACAACTAAAAGGGAGTTGGATGCTGCAAGAAGTAAAACCAAAATTAACATTGGTGTGGCTTTTGAATGATGACAACAACTGAGAAAAAGGGTCTGAAAAGTGGCACCATGGTGGCCATATTTCTGCTGGGAGGAGTGTCATCAGCTTTGTTTTGTTTTTGTTTGGGGGCACTTGTTATTTTCCTGAAATCTGTAAGTAAGTAGTCAGGCAATGCGTGTCGCAGTGTGCATTGTGCTTTGGAGGAGTGGCTTTGGAGAGAAGTCAGAACAAAAGGGTGGGATTTCTTTGGTTGTCTACTTTCAAAATCAAGCTTCATGCTGGTTTTTCCAGGATCGCCAGCCTTACCTTTAAACTCTTGAGCATCTTGCACAGCATGACCTTTGCTCTCCAGACTCCGAGGTGGTAGCAGAAAAAGAAAACACTAAAGGAGGGGCATCTTTTCCCTTCATGGTGAATTCAGCTGGTTCGGACATGATGCATTACATACCCTTGAACTGACATCTCTAAGTTTTAAAACTGTTGACTGATGTGTTTGTCCTCCAGTTGAGGACACAAAACATGGTCAGTTAGCTTTACAAAAGCAGTGATGTCAAGTTCCTCACCAAACTGTACATAGTGTTATTCAGTGCACTGACTGATCGATGTGTTCTCGTAGGCACGTGTTGCAGCAGGAGGGCTGAAAGTCAGCGCAGCCTATCAGCATGGAGCCTCGGGGGCTGCAAGACTCCTCACTGCTCCTGCACTTCACCGGGCCTGTTGCCACACCAGTATGTACACAACCTAAATCACACAATGTCAAGTAAAATTTTGCACTTGCATTATATTTTTGCATTAATATCCTGAATGATTCTCTGTTATTGATTTACAGAAAATATTCACTGGTTTCATATTTTGCACACTTTGTTATAGAGATTTCAGTTTAAATCAATAAAACTGCCATTTTTGCTCATTGATCTACATTCATAATGACTCCATAATGCCAAACATGTCTTGACAATGTTTGCAAATTAAAAAAAAAAAAGAAAAACAACTCTCTTTTGAAAACATATTCAGACTTGTGATTCAGTACTTCGTAGAAGCCCCTGTAGCAGAAGTTACAGCTTCCAGTCACTATACAGGCTTTTGGGATGGAAATTTTACAAATTCATTTATGAATCAAGTGTAATGTTATTTTAAAGATACTTTCCATGTTTGATATTGGTTTAATTACTGTCCCAACTCCACAGCAGAGAGAGAGGTGGGTGCTGGCCTGGGTGCTCCTGTGTTGCTGTCTATCTGGTGCCTGTTTATCAGAGTATGGCAGAGAGTCTTCACGCCACAGTGTTCTGTACATGAGGACATCTCGTTGTGTCTACATTCTTAGACAGTAAAATTATAACCAGAGTGCGCTCATGCCAGACTTTGTCTTTGTAAATGATGAATGAAGCTCTGTTAGAGTGACTTGGGTTCTTGGTGATCTCCCTGACCAAGGCTCTTCCTGTCTGGTTACTCAGTTTGGCCGGACAAACGACTCGAGGAGGAGTCCCGGTGGCTCCAAACATCTTCCATTTCACAGTTATTGAGGCCACTGTGCTCCTGGGAGCACTCAGAGCTTCAGATGTGGTTGTGTAGCCATGCCCCGATTTGTCCCTCACCAGTTTTCTCGCAGAGGTCTGCAGAGTTTCTGAGACTTCATGACTTTTTTTGTCCTGACCTGCAGTGTGAATTGAACAAAGTGTGCAAAAAATGAAGGGGTCTGAACACTGGTGAAGCCACTGCATATGACAATAAGGGAAATATATGCAATATCATTTAAAATTTAAATTTCTATTTAGGGCAGTGAACTAATTTGACAAAATAATTTATATGTGAACATTTATTTTATATTTATCAAAATGCCTGGAGTTTTGACCATCGAATTGAACATAGTAGTGACTTCATGTAATCTATTTCATTTAAGGTTTTGTGCAGTTAACACTGATACTTTGTTTATTCACTCTACTTTGCAACAAGTTGTTAAACAGGAGTTTCAAACTGATTGCATGTCCTGTGTTTTGCACTTTTTAGTGCCCCTGTTAGAAGTTGTCTACATGGATCAGTGTTTTTATATTACAGTGAGAGCTTATTGTGATGACTCTTGTGTATCAGGCTCCTCCAGATGGGCCCCTGCTGTCACTCAGCCTGCTCCTGCTTTTAACGGCACAGCCGTCCTCAATGGAGAGTTCAAGGAGATGAGTCTAAGTGATTTCAAGGGCAAATACCTGGTCCTCTTCTTCTACCCACTGGATTTGTGAGTACTGCTAGTGATTCTCAGCCCTGCATGAGGAGATGGAGTGAATAACATGATGGCTTTGATTTAAATGTGCACCAAGTAATGGAAGATTTTCAAGTACTTCTGCTGATGAGCAATAGAAATTTCACAGAACTCTTCTGATTACTGAATAAAAATAATTCCAACTCCTCGTCATCAGTGCTCTGCAGATGTACTGTGGTTATTTTGTGGCTGGGTCAGTGAACATTGTATTTGTTTCCTACTGCAGCACCTTCGTATGTCCAACAGAGATCATCTCATTCAGCGACAAGGCCAGTGAGTTCCATGACATCAACTGTGAGGTAGTGGGTGTGTCTGTTGACTCTCACTTCACCCACCTAGCATGGATCAACACTCCACGCAAGGTACACATCCCTGTTTCGTGTTTGAGTAACACACATGGGGCAAAGTTGAATTCACCGTGGTGTTTCATTCAGCGGGCCACAAAGGAGCTGATGATGATGATTAATCGCAAAGTATGGTGTCTTTTGTGTTTGCAATTCTTTGTAATGCTAAAATAAATAAAAAATTGCTTTATCAGGCAGGAGGCTTGGGCCACATTCACATCCCTCTGCTCTCAGACCTCAATAAGCAGATGTCTAAGGACTATGGGGTGCTGCTGGAGGGTCCAGGGATCGCACTGAGGTAGGCCATTGGGTGCTTTAGAAAAACAGTGAGTCCAAAGCCACCTTTTTCACGGTTTACTTATAATTCAGCGTTTCAAACCCAGCTCAAGGGTATTCGTACTGTAGTTGTGTGTGATGTAGTCTTATTAGCACTTGCTGGTAAAATACAATAAAGATAAACCAGCAGAAATGTGTGCAGATGTGATAAGAACCCTGAAGGACTCATCACTGAACAGCTGCTGCTGGTATTTGTCACGACGTGGCTACCATCACGTTGATCTGGCACTACTTGTCATAGAACATTTTTGGTATTTTGGTGATACCATATCATAGTTTTGTTGTGGGACAGTAACCTTTTTTTTTTTTTTTTTTTTAAGGCTTTTATTGACAACTCTTTGTCCAATCCAGATGTTTTTTGTCTTCTCTATATTTATATATGGCAACATTGCATAATATAACTAATATTTCATACACATACAGTGTCAACATTGTTCAGTTGGAGCAGAGTTGGTATTTATTTCAGTTTGTGTTTTACCATTACTCACATTACTGTTAATATTTCTGAACCTCCTGTTCAGATTATTGCCTTATGACAGTTTGTACTTTTTTTGTTTTGTCTGTAATGTTTTGTAGAGAACTTCACTACAGCTATTTAAGAAGCTGCTTGATAATTCATTTTTTGTATAATTGTCCTTCAGGGGCCTGTTCATCATCGACCCAAATGGTGTGGTGAGACACATGAGTGTGAACGACCTGCCCGTGGGCCGTTCTGTGGAAGAGACTCTTCGTCTGGTGAAGGCATTCCAGTTTGTGGAGACCCATGGAGAGGTGTGTCCGGCCAGCTGGACCCCTAAGTCCCCAACGGTGAGTTCATTTAACCCCAAGACACATTTCAGCCTATGCGACTCTAAAATATAAATGTTCCTGTTAGCACCCGTTTCAAACCCATGCGTCCCACTGTTTAACTTTGTCACATTAAGGATCGTGTGTGTGCGCACTCAGGATGCAGTTTGAATAAGCTATTGTGTGTCAGTCTTATGTAAGTTGGACACAGTGGAAGTTATTTGAAAACTCATCTAGAATCACTATTTTTCAGATCATACCAACCCCAGAAGGATCTAAGAAGTACTTTGAAAAAGTCAACTGAAGACCAGGCTCACACTGCTTTCAGCTAGAACAGTAAATGGTACAAATCTAAAAATACAAATACATGAACACTGTTCGTAGTTTATAAAGTTGTCTGCTATTCCACAGCTAGATGCACTAATAAACCTATTCTTTATAAATAACGGTTTGTTGATTTATGTTGTAGTGGTCTTTGTATTAAGTTTCAGACTAAGTGACCTGAAACGCTGTTTTACCTGTTACTTTACTGAATAAGTGCATTAACTCGGCTTCCCATGGAAAGTAAACAGACACTGAACTGTACAACACAGCCGCCATATACTACATACAGGTTTGTCTGATACATCAGTGCAGAAATATTTCCAAACTACAATTAATAACCCCTGTACATAAATGTTTATTTTCTTTTTTACAGCAAGTCAATATGCAGGTTCAAAATGTCTAATCAGACATACACAACATGAGGTGCCAAAATCAACTTCAGTGAGGGAAGAACAGGAAAATAGAAAAAAAGGCATTGCCACTTCTCATAAAAGTAGCATACATACTGTATTTACACAAAATGGAAAACTGTTTCAAACACTCTGTAGCACTGTGTAGTTATGAAACATCGAGTTTTAAGTGTACATAAACTTTGCTTTGTACAGTATGTTTGCAGATGCTGCCTTGTTCCTTCAGGCATTCACATATGATGTTTCAGGTTAGGCAACAGAAAAAAAAAATGGATGGAAATGTCTAACCAGAAGACGCAGAGCATTTTAAAGCTTTAAATAATATGAAATCAAAATAAAAAGGTATCCATAAGCAGGCCGATTGGTCATCCAAATATACCCAATACATTTTGAAACTGAGAACAACTGACAGTGCAGACTGAAGATGGTTTGGTGAAAACATGCAAATTCAGGCCAAGATGGAAGAGCCCCACCCCAAGCACCAAACAGAAAAACAAAAATATACTTTTTTAATTAAATGTTTCATTAAAAAAAAAGGAAAAAGACAACCCTGTAGTAAATCTGTACAACTAAAAATACATTTGAGATCTACATTAAGGCTGCATGAGAAATTGTTTTGTGAGCATGGCTTAGATTTGTGTGATCTCAGTCTCATGTGACAATGATTCTGCTGTGTTTGCATTAGCAGTAAGATGCCTTGCATCAAACAAGCGCTCCCTTTTCCTCACTAAGCTGCATTAACCGAAAACTGATTTATTTCTTCAGCAACATGTTGGATTTGTTGTTGGATT